TGTAAGAAGGGAGACCTGACCACGACGAAGATGGTGCTAATAGTAACAATACTTTTGGCATGTGCTTATTTTTTAAGTGCTATAGAACAAGTTGTGGAAAATCCACCACTGGCTAATCATGTTGAAGCTTTATACATTTTGTTATCCAATTTTTGTCCCAATGCATCTCCTCTCATATGTTGTGTGTTCTTAAGTGCATAATATATCCTTGAAGCGTAACAAAGAACAAGAGAAAGAACACCAAACAGACACTAAACACCTAGTAAATCCTAATAGCATCTCAATGAGACAAAATTATCATACCCATGCAATTGAGCCTTTGGCTAAAATGAATTGAAAAAAAAAATTGTCGGATATTACTTGCTACATGTAGCTGCCAAGTGGCAAATGGAAGTAAATCCAAAAAAGGGAAAGAAATTTAACAGGAACCATCAAGTAAAGGAAAATCTTTTGGCTGTAAGCCAGATGACAGAAATATAACCATCAGTGTACCACACTCAACAAATGGTTTCGTAGTGTAGTGGTTAGCACTCCAGACTTTGAATCTGGCGACCTGGGTTCGAATCCCGGCGAGACCTACTTTTTTTAGCTGACATTTTAGTATTCCCATGGTACAATGTACTCGCTATTTTTTTCCGGCTTTTAGTATTCAGGAAATATATCTACTTGCGATTTTTCAGCTCACATTTAGTGTTTCTAGGGTAGAATGTACTCCTATTTTTGCTGATTAGTATTTCCTTGGTAAAATATACGCAGACCATACAAATACTCACAAGTGAAAGAAAAGTGTATACTCCAAATGTACACCTACCCACTAATTACGGTGGAGACTGAACTGAACTAATTATTTTGATACTGTGTTCTTAAAACAAGACATGATTGCCTCAGTAATATTCAATTCTAGCAACATGATGCGCCAACCCGTGCAAGAACTCAAAATATTGTATTCTAGCAATGTTAGTGAACACGAAGAAGGAACTGCAATGGCCACTATCGAGTGGTTTAAATCCCAGCTGGGCAATCAAAACAGTTAGCCTTCAAGGTCATACTGAATGGGCCTACCATGTCATTTGTTCCAAATTGTACTGATAAAGTGAAAGGTCTTCTCTACGTTCTCTTTGTATTATCATTGGCAAAAGGTCTACTGCAATAAATTTTGGGCTACAACTTATTAATGTGGTCATCTACCAACTATGGTCATGCTTGTGACAGCAGCTCGCAATCCTGAGTTGGAAAGGCAATGCTAGTGTACTGATTTACATCACATGCCACAAAGATGGTCTGTTGGTGACAATTTAGGTGCAATGCAATTTATAAGTGCAAAGGAAAGGATTTCTCTCTTAAGGAGTACACACCTATTCCTCAACAACTGGGTAAATAGTAACCCCATGGCAAATGATAAGACAAAAAACTATTTGAAGTGACCAAGTAAACCAAATTTGTCAGCAAAATTAAATGCCAGAAAATATGAGAAAAGATATGTGTATGTACCTCGCATAGAAGAGTGAGAATTAGGTAGTTGATTGTCACATTCCGATACAGAGCTAGCGTAAAGCAAATAAGCAGAATAAGGTGATGCATCAGAATCCCAGGAATCCATCCACTGTACAGCCGGTAGCGGAGCATATCCAATTGGTCATAAGCAAAGTAGCCACATGAAAAGCACAGAGCAGAATATGCTCCAATCCAACTGCTACCAACTAATTCTTCATGCTGAAACATGTTCTCAAGGCCTTTGGTACGCCATTGGCACAATAGAACAAAGATAACTGCAAATCGAGATAGGAGTGAGATAGAGTCGATCAACAAGCCTAACAACATATGACAGCATCGATGGAACAAACTAAAGAGATAAATATTTACCAAAAAAAGACATAGTTCAAGAATATGCATTACACCTACGAGCCATCCATTTAAAAGAAGGATCAACAGTTTTACATACTGCAGAGGGAATGCTCTACAACTTCCTAACTATCTTGAGAGAAACAACAGCACCACTAAATCCAATGGCACATGGACCATCTACGACATAAAATTTCCATTTCTATCATTTTTTTGCTTAGGCATTGTCAATTACATGGGCGATGGATTTACTGGCAATAAGTACGTGCAAAGAAGTGGTACACGAAGTAATGCTTGAGAAAGGTAGTGTTCTAAAAATCAGCCGCCTAGTGCACCTAGAGGGCCCCCAGATACTAGGTGACACCCATCCTGCTAGCCAATTTATCCCTCCTAGGCCCACCTAATTGGCGTTTAGGCACTAGATGCTGATTTGCCGCCCAACTAGCAGACAAAATGGAGATATTTGGTGCCTAACTAGTGAACTCTTCTAAACACACTGTATACCATCACCATTCTTTTTAAGGGTTGGCAAATTTTCATGGAAAACATGGAAGTATTTGCACGCAAGGCCATTGCATGGTTGCCACATTTACTTGGAAACTGAAACCACACAACCTCTAGAAGCTGAACATGCTATAAACAGCAAGGTAGCAAGCAATATGGGCTTTTAGAAATCCTGCACAATTTCAGCCAATCAAAGCTCAAATGGAGACAATTTTGAACAGCACAAGTAAGCAGTATCACAGTGACCAACGATACTAACAATAACAGTACATAGCTCATAGTGCCCCCTTTTGTTCAGGGCCGGCCAAATTGCATCAAGCATCAACAGGTTTACCGGCTGATTAATCTGCCGCGCCCTCTCTATCCCCACCAAATTCGCGCAACGCTGGAAGTCAATTGGGCGTACGCTTTCTTCTACTAGGCGATTAACCCGAAGCACGTGTA